CGCAGACATCTTGGATGATCTGTCGGCACTTATCCTCGCGAAGCGGCTGTTCAGAGTTCTTCAGCATGGCCCGAAGGTCACCACCCGCCAGCAGCTCCATGACCAGAACCAGGCGGTCCGGCAGCGAGGTGATCGCCCCGTAGACGTTGACGGTATGCGGATTTCTCAGGCGAATCATGGTGTCCAGTTCGCGCAGGAATGCCTTGCGCTCCGCCTTGTCCCGCAGCGCGTTAAACTCTATTGTCCGTGGCCCACTCAGTGATATGCCGTTCTCTCCCGGCTTGCCCAGGCCGTGGGTGATGTGCTGTACCTGTATCATTAAGCGATACATGCACCGACGTCAACGATAACATACAAACGAACCAGACAAAGCACGACAGCGGAAACGAATAACGGGGTGAAATGAGTCCTGCCGGTGGTTGGGGTTTGGTCCCTCCGCTCCCCAGGCAGGCCCTACTCGCTTGCTCGGCGGTTGTACTGTACTCGCAGATGCTTCGGTCTACACATAGAGAATGGCTTGAGTCATACCTTGGCCGCCGCGTTGTGGCCGTTGTAGTCGGCTAGGTACACCACGCCAAAGCCCCCCTTTCCCAGCACCTCGTTCGTGATCGACACGTGGTCCTCGGGGATTTCGATCTGGTCGAGCTTGTGCTGCCGCCTCGACCTGCGGGCTTGCGCCAGAGATTCTACCTGAGCCTGAGCGTCCGCCGTTGACCTCTGGTATATAGAGACGAACGAAAAACACCAAGAGGCACATGGCCAAAAAAACACGTCCTGAGCTGCTTCACTGAACCCTCCCGACCACAGGAGCGATTCGATCAAAAGATGAGCCGAGTCGGTGAAGAAGGTAGAAACGGAGTGTCCTCGAGAGGCCCCCTGTACATGGCTACCGCGTTCACGGAGGGCCCGTAAGTATTGCCCGCCTTGGCCCGTGGTCAGTACAAGCCGCCGAGGCATAATATTGCGGCGGGCTACAGCAGCAGCAGCGTCCGAAATCGAAGGATTCTACATAGAGTACGCTTCATGGCACGTCCTCACCTTCACAAGGTGGGCAACGTCGTGTTGAATCTGCCCAACGTCGTGCCCCACCTGCACCTGCAGGCCCAACTAGAGGACACCAAGCAGCAAACATGGGAAAACGCAGGCGGTAAGGCGACGCCAAGAGTCCTACCTATTCCTATACTATTCGGTCGACCGATTGCAGCCGTGCGTGACCTCTTTACGAGGGCTTCCCACAAGGTTTACCCCGCGTTGCCAAAGGTAAAACCGTGTTTTGTGGCACGGCTCAATAACATCCCCAAACCCAACATCGACATTTCAAAGCAATGAACGACATGTACAGAGCCACCTTGAAGAAGAAGCTAGATATGACAGACAACTGAGCAGTTTTAGCGCAGCTGGCTGCTCAGTCGAGACGCAATCCATACTGAATATTATGGCATACTTGTTGCGGTACACGACACTCACATGTAGGCCCCAGACGGCCCTGTCGATAACCGCGTTCAGCTCGTCCTGGCGCCGCTTGAACAGGGTCGATGTCAACATCTTGCCGAGCTTGCTCTTGTTCTGGAAAGTTTTGATCAGCTCCACGAGATCGGAGACAGCGTCGTGCACTTCTTCCATTAAAACGCGCTCCTCCTCCGTGCTCGTGTCGCCACCCTACATGTACATAGCAGCATACACACGAGGCATGCACAACGATTCATCGAGCGCTAACGTTTGCACAACGGAGACATCAATGTGCCTGCCTTCGCACACATCACACCGCAGTCGCACAGCAGCAGAGAGAAGAGCCGAGTGGGCTGTGTGGGCGTCGCCTCAGCAAACACCCAACCAGCTCGCGTTCCTTCCCCTATTGCGCACTCCTTTTTGCAGTTCCTTATCCAACTCTGACCAGAAAAAGATAACAAGAAGCAACGCTTGCAAATCTGATCGAAGAATGTGCTCCTCAGTTCTTTTGACAACTTGTGCGACAAAAAACATTTAATACTTCGAAGTTTCAAACAGCACAAAAACAATGTACTCGTACAGACCACGTATTGGCCCAACCGCTCGAACCCGCGGTGAAAATGTAGGCTTGCGTTCCGGATAAGGACGGCAAAACCTTCCATTATGCACAAACTTCAGGTTCGGGGTTTTAAGGTTCAAACGCAAAAGGAAAACGGCATAATGCAGTGAAAATCCTCAACTTGTCATTGTGGCGGAGAGAAATGCGCAATTCTGCAGGAACAATCGAACGACACCGCGTGACAGATCATTGATCGTACTTCAACCCCTGAAAACTTCAAAGTATGTACGCCAAGAAGAAGGCGTGTCTCCAACATCGTTGACGCCTCAAAATCAGGCAGAGTACATAGGACAGAACAAAGCATGGTGCCCACATCGTTGACGCCTCTAAATCAGGTAGGATACATGCGACAGAACAAAGCATGGTGCACACTCCAGCATGCACGAGTCATGTCGCTCACCTTGCCAAGCACCTTCGCCGCCCGCTCAAGCATCATCACGATCGACCGGCACCGCTTAACCCCGGCGCTGCTCGTCAAGTCCCGATTGTCCAAGACCAAGTGTATCAGAATCGACACCGCCGTCGCCGCCTCGCTGATGCCGGGGATCTGGCAATGATGGGCCAGATCCTCGGCCGCCACCAGTATTGCCTCACCGTACCCGAAGCCGTTTGACGCCCGTCGGCGGCCATCAGGGGCAGGCGCAGGAGCAGGAGCAGGAGCAGCCGCAGGAGCAGGAGCAGGAGCAGCCGCAGTCGCAATCGCCGAAGGAGCGCCGTCGGCCCCTTCCTCCGCCGAACCCCCGAACCCGGCAAGCTCGGCCGTCCATCCTTCCGTCGACACGTTCTTTGTGGAGTTCGTAGTTGTCAACGGCAGCAAGGCTTGCTCGACTGCCGCCACGCAGCCGTTGCCGTCTTCCACTGCATCGCCGCCGCCCCGGCCCGCATCCGCCGTCCTAGTGACACCACCGCTTTCGTTGTTGTCGCGTGTGCACTTGGGAGTTCCCTCGGAGCTGGGCCTCGGCAGGGCGCCCACGGGCGGCGCTGGGAACAAAGATTGGATAGGCGTGCCATCTTCGCCGAATTTCGTCTCAGCAGCGACTGCCGCGTGCTGCTGACTGGCGGCGGGTGGCAAAGTATCGCGTCGGTGTGCATCATCATGCTTATACGGTGAGGATGGCAGCGGGGGGTCTTGCTGGGTAGGAGGCGGTTCATCCGCATACGGTGGGGGTGGCAGCGGGGAGACTTTCTGGTCAGCAGGTGGCGGGCCGCGAGTAACGTTGCCCCCGGCAGAGCCGGCGATGATCGGCGAACAGGCGTGGAGGTCCTGCTGCCTTTGCTGGTGCTGTTCACCACCGCCGTGCTCCAGCCTGTCTCCACCGTTGGGAGGAGGGGCCGGCGGCTCGGGGTCCGTGCTCTTCGCGGTCCGTCGGCGATAAAGGAGGAACCCCAGTGCTCCTGACGCCAGCGCGCCGGCCGCAACGCCGACTACAACGTCCACCATCGATGCGCCTTCATTGTCCAGACGAGCAGCGGAATAGCAGCGATGAGTGTTGATGTAGGCGGGACTCCGACAGGCAACGGCTGGTACCAGGACATCATTTTCGACGCATCAACCCGAAGCGATTCAGGGCTACAGTAGCCTTTGCGATCCCTCCGTCGCGTCGCGAAAGACTGCACGCACAACATGTGTGTGTGTGTGCATCTGACCTTTTTCTCAATAAAGTACCTGATACTTTGGAAGAGGTCGATGGCAACCAGAGAGGGTTGTTTTATTGGAAAAACTGGAGGAATTCTGAGCATGAGGACAACAACTATCCACCATGAAGATGGTCAGCTTCCCGCTCTCAAGCATTGCCCAGTTGCAGCCACGGTCTTAGCCTGTCTTGAGGCGAGTCGCGAGCTGAGCGCAGGTATCAAGGTAGACGCAAAACACATCGAACAAGCGAGCGTCGAATCCTACGGAAGAGCATACTGCGTACGGGACAGCAGCGCCGAGCACTTTACCCCCCTGCGAACGATAAAATAGGCGCATTCGGCGGCTGAATGGCCGCGCCATTTTGCGTTCAAGTGGGTATTTGGCGTAAGATATCACCATTGTCTACCATCCCCCTATCCTCTGGAATACATTGTCGGGGAGATTGCTAGATTTCGCTGAAATCGCTCGACTCGGTATCAACCATGAGGTAGGGGTGGTTGTATCAATAAATCATCATAACAACAGAACACATGACGGTCACCTTTACACGGAGTGTAGGAAAGTGTGGCCGCTGCCGCGAGATAGTTGGCGGGTATTGAAGGACGTACTTGGGTTGGGACATGGGACAATCGAGAGCTTCGCCAGTTACTCATGCTTCACCCTACATACCCCCAGCTGGAGGAGCGGGAAGCCAAGCCAACAAAGAGAAAAAGACCGACGACCTTCCTTGGTGGCATGGATATCGCGCACTCAATCAGTTGGCAGAATAATCACAGGTTCGGAAGACGTGCTGCTCGATGAATTCTTGAACCATTGATTGGGTCTCGCGACAAACAACGGTCGCAAATGTACTTCAGTATTCCTGGCGGAACATCAGTTCAATCGTTATCGTTCGGAGTTATGACAGCATTAGCACACGAGCAACAGAGGTCGGCAAACAGCACTAGGGGAAGCTTAGACCTTTCGTTCAGAAGCGGCAATGACTACTAGCCCCGTAATATGCCGGCAGACAGTAGCCTTGACGAGGGCGACCAGCCTTGGGTGCGGAAAATCTATCACTCCGGGCGGTCGTGAACAGGGCATGTTTGGAGCAAAGCCGGGCATATGTCAATATTCGACCGCCTAGTGCCTGTTTTTTACAGTACAGCATGCCCTAGTTAAACGGGAAATGCGGCATCAAGTATCTTACCTTCTGAGCTCGAGGCGGGTGGCTGCGTAGGTTGTGGGGTAGATCCCGGCGCGGCCGTGTCCAGTGCAGGTGTAGCCGCAGGCCCAAGTGTGGCCGCTGCCGCGAGATACCATGTTGGCGGGTATTGAAGAAAGTATTTGGGTTGGAACAATCGAGAGCTTTGCCAGTTACTCATGCTCCACCCTACATAACCCCAGCCGGAGGAGCTGAAAAGCCAAGCCAACAAGGGAAAAATGTCAGACGGCCTTCCTTGATGGCATTGATGCGCGCACTCAATCAGTCGACAGGAAAATCACAGGTTCGGAACACATCGTGCTCGAGAGAGTCGTGAAGTGTTGAATGGGTCTTGCGACAAACAACGGTCGCAAACGTAAACTGCACGATTCCTGTCAGGACACCGGTTCAGACGCTGTCGTTCGGAGTTATCACCACATATACCATGGCCCTACACTGCATGTAGGGAGCACACAAGCAACAGAGCTCGGTAAACAATATTAGGGGAAGCTTAGACCCTTCGTTCAGAAGTGGCCATGACTAGCCCTGTGATATGCCGGATAGAATAACGTAGCTTGGCGAGGGCGACCGGTCATGGGTGCGGAAAAATATCACTCCCACTGGTAGTGCGGCATCAAGTCTCTTGTGAGCTCGAGACGGGTGGCTGCGTAGGTTGTGGGGCAGATTCCGGCGCGGTCGTGCCCAGTGTAGGTGCAGGCGTAGGCGAAAGTGTGGCCGCTGCAGCGAGTGCCAGGTTGGCGGGTATTGAAGGACGTATTTGGGTTGGGACGTTTGGACAATCGAGAGCTTCCCCAGCTACTCATGCTTTACCCTACATACCCCCAGTCGGAGGAGCGGAACGCCAAGCCAACAAGGGAAGAATGACAGACTACCTTTCCTTGGTGGTACGGCTTCGTGCACTCAACAGTTGGAAGAATAATTACTCCGGTTTGTTAGAACAACTGCTTCAGAAGGTCATTTACAGTAATGTGGGTATGGAGTCGGTTAAGGTGATCTCGAGAGGAGTTATCACAACATCGAATATGACGATGCATGTCTGCTTGCTACCTTCATAGGCCATCAGCTGGCCCTCTCAACAGTTTTATTTTCGTAGCAGACGGCGTCTTGGCGCAACCTGGGCATGCTAAATCAAGGTCGCATCTAGTTTCTAGACATCGGGAAGCACCTGATGTCGTGGATGAATCTAGACTATGGGTGTTGGACAGGATCAGTTCGTTGATTGCCCAAGTCCCTCCATGAAGTGGATGAACTTGAACGATAATTTACTACAGGGTTGCTTTGCGGGCCTGTGTTATCTCACCACACGTGTACCCTTCATCTCCGGGAGTGCACACTTCTTGGCCGCACACGTTGTCGATCACGCCCTCAATAGAACACCCTGGAAACGTTCGAAGAACATCAGTGTTTGGGGGCGCATCGCGAAAATTGCACATGAAGGTACAAGCCCTAGTGCTGCTTAGGGAGGACGATGGCAGCACATGTTTATCAAAATTGAGCATGCCCACTTCCATCCTCCGCTCGATGGTTACCTTCGAGATCAGTCTCGCGAAGAGGTTTGGAGATACAGTAATACACTTTTGCACCGAGTAAGAGCCGTCAAGTAGAACAGCGAGGTTCGAGCCCAATCAGCACTGCAGCTCCTTTCAATCATATCGTCGTGACTTCAAGCGATGGCGGCGACTGAACAATGTACAGACCCATCGTGGACCGGTATACCATGCATCCCGTTCACAATGTAGTCTGGGGATGGTACGGCTGTCGACCCTTCACAGCGATCTGGAATGCACGAGCGAGCGAGTGATCGATGCACAGTATATGGGCCGAGGGGCGACGCCGAACGATGTTTCGCTGGACCTCTGTGCCGCTCACTACGAAAAGTCGCTGTGGGATGCCTCGATTAGAAAATGGAGCGCAAAACAATATCCCAAGCAACTGCTCCTGGGCATCCGCATCAAAAAAGTCACTTGATCGACCCGACACCTTCGCGGGGTAGACTGTGATGCACCAAAAGCAACATGGTACCGGTGAGCACCTATCGACCCCCGAGCCCATCGGTACATCGTTGTCAGCGAGCCACTCACCACATTCGTCACCGTATGCATCAACGTGGAGCCCGTCTGCATATTCCGAGGCATCATCATCAACTTCCACCCTGCGAAGTGAGCACAGGAGGTCAAACAGGTCTCGCTATACAGACAGTCGAAGCAAATAAGGCGAGGTCGATCTACGATGCAATGTATTAATGGACATGCTACATGGATGAAGCAAGCAAGGAGGATGCCGGGAAAAACTCTGCTTTCTGACGGTTCAACGGAAGTTTTACTCTTTTTCCACTTCGAATCAGCGTGCACAGCACTAGTGCCGTTTACTCCAACCCGTGGTCACACAGAAGGGCCCCTCTCTACCCTCCCCTCCTGCGGTACGTTGCCTTCGATTTTCACGCGAGGAGAGTTCAGCACTCTCTTCCCTCCGTGTACACATGGCGAACTACAGTAGCGCTATCCACGAGCCCAGGAGCGGAAGCAAGAGAAAAACTCACTTTGCAAGAAAAGCTCGCTTACGCCGGGATCTGAACCCTTGACCTGACCTCTAGAAGGTTTTGAGGATACCAACTAGACCACCGGGGTATCAATGCAATGCATTATTTAGATGTGCTAAGAGCCCACGCGTGCGAAATCAGAACAAGTTGTGGGCCCGAACAATATGGCCAACGCGATAGCTAAAGCGGCTCGACTATTTTAGTGTTCGACGAATCACGTTTCTGTTCAACGTTCTGACAAGTAAATGCTATTCTTCTCGCATCACGTATCACAAGGGTTAGGGTCACTGCATCAACACCAATTGGTTATTGTAGTAACACGCATTCGTCCCATATCGCGAGCAGCAGCGAACAACAGGTGTGCTCGGTATCTACGTGATGCTGGCCGGATCCGCAAACACACGATAGGGTCCATATTCTTCTCTTGATATGTATTACAAAGCGATATATGCATGCTTTTAAAACGTTCCTCACAGTTCATTTGAGGGCAAGCACTCGAGAGAGTTCCCGTCCAGGCACCTAAAATTCAGGTCCCGAACGAGATTTGCCGGCGCATGGCCGGACGAGAGCGGCAGATGCAACAACGGATCATACGTTAGGGAAGGAACAACAAGGTTAGCATGGTGGCCACTAACGATACGAACAGGTGGTGAGAAGCCATCGCCTAACACAGCAACAAATCATTGCCGCAGCACCGCGCCGATGGTGTTCCAGATAGAGCGAAAATGATAATTCAAGTATAGGACGATAATCCTCTATTCTCATCGCTTGCCTGGGAGGAAATCGATACACTTCTCCAGAGATATAACGTAATCTCGCGAGGGAAAGCGAGAACGTTCAGTAAAACCGGTGGGGTTTGAGATAGGAGATTTGTTGTAAGCGGGGCACCCAAAAGGTGGGCCATGTCGGGAAACTGACTAATATTGCCCGCTATCTCGGGCCAACGCATGTCTACAATTCCCGACAAGCGGGAAATACAACCACAACTCCTGGATTTGCAGGTGTTCTCGTTAGCAGGAAAGGATCTACCAGAGAACCGGCAGGTTGAAGCCATTATGCCAAATACACTTGAGATAAGGAAAGAAAACAAGGATGGGTGTGATCTCATGCCGAACGCAGACAGGCCTCAGTGTATTAAGCACGCACGCCGTAAGCTGCATCAACATATACTGAATGTAGTGCCCCGGCGAAGTATCATGTGGGCCACAAAATGAATGTCTTTCGCAGCAGTTGATCGCAGCACGTTGAACTACCTGGCCTCTGAAGCCCCCAATTACGGACGGAATAGTCTATAGATTCACGAAAGCAACAGAATGCCGAAACAGGTGTGATTACTGTAGACCACTCAGTATCTGTACGCGACAAGAGTGTTAAGTTGAGAAAATTCGTCAGAGGTTCATCCTCAACCAACGGAGCCAACGATCAATCATTTTAGAACCGAAGGGCGTCCGAACTGCATCGGCTACCATCTTTCCAGGTGTGCTGCTTACCATCAACTTTGACGTAAGGTTAGAGCAAGCGGGCTGATTTGAAAGAGGCACACTCTCGCAGAATCGCCAGCAGTTGCGCTGCTAGGGCAATGGTACTCTCCCCAGCATCTACCGACCACTCGTTCGATATCCACCTTCTCTCTTGCAAAGAAAACCATGAACGAATGCATCGACCGCAGTTCTGCAAACCGGGAAAATGTTTGGGGATTTCTTGTGTCTAGCGCAGGCTGAGCGCATGCGGAAAAGCATCCCAGCTACTTAAAGTAATGCCAGGGCCGTAAGATCCCCGAAGATTCCCTCCGGCAGCGTGGTGAGGTTGTTGTTCGACAGTCGCCTTTGAGTGCCAAGGGGAGGCCATCAGCGGAACAAGGCAGCCACAAGTTAGCCATGAATTCCCATTTGAGTGTGCACTGAGGACGTTTCGAATGCTTCGGTGGAGCAACGGAATATTTTCCGCCCCTTGATGACCTGCCAAATCCTCTTTCGGACAAGCGGAGTCGATTATAGATCAAACCGGCTGCATACACAGCGGCCTTATAAAAACCGTACTACCCCTGTATTAGTTGAGCACCCCCCGCAGTGAGCCCCCGCAGTGATAAATACATGTCACGGGGAAAAAAAGCTTGAAGCGAGCGCGTCCTCGAAATTGGAAGGATGTCTTTGCACACCAAAATAGAGCTCACGGGGTTAAACATTCCCAGGACGACAAAACTGGCGTGTTTAGGGGGCTTGGTGTTGCTTGTCCAATTTACCCACACGTTGGAGCACATTTCAGGACAAAACGACATATTTTTTTTCACGGGGGCACCGGATACCACCTGTGACGGCTCACTAGACCATGGAGGAAATATCAAAGAACCAAACCCCGCCGACATCTACAGTACATATCGCTGCTAGTGCCATGGCACTGCCCAGCACCACTCAAACACATGTTTGACATCCGCATACGCCCCACTACAAACAGTGACCATAGATCAGTGCGCAGGCGGACATATAAGGGCAGTGAGGCCCTCCCCATGTGAGAGGTCTACCGTCGGCGCTCGGAAACGACAACCAATCCCGCCAAGTATTGCGATGCTTGAAAACTCGCGTTTCTCACCCCGTCGAGGTGTCCTCCTTCTCTCGATCACCCCAACTTTATGCTTTCATCCGATGGATGTATCGGCAAAGTTGCTGAATGAACGCATGTTGAAATCGAAATTGACCGAATCGTCTGTTTGGCAGACAAACCTATCCAACCCCAAGCATCCGAGACAGTGCAGCGGTTGGGGTTTAATGGATCATGGGCACGGTTGGTCTGCCATCTTTTTGTTCTCCATCGCAACCTAGCCCGATGTTGAAAAACATTCTACCGACAACCTCGTCGAACAGCTACTTACAGTCTTTCCAAGGCCGTAAGACCCCCGAAGATTCCCTCAGGCAGCGTGGTGAGCTCGTTGAAGTGCAGGTCCCTTCGGGTGTCGAGGGAAGGCCGCGAGCGGAGCAGATAACACACATGACCTAGGAATCAGTGCTTGCTACCGCACATGGTGATCTACGAAGCGCGGCCAGCCCACCAGCATGTACGGACGTCCTTCAGTACAGTGGCACTAGCAACGCCGCGGCCGCCGCGATGAGCTGGGTACAACCACAACAATCATGCCTCCTTCCCGTTACAGCGAAGGCGACGAATTGGCAGCTAGAACCCGTTCCAGGGTTGCATTGAGTACACCGCGAATCGGATAAGAGGTTAGGATATGCGGCCATCAGGGCACCACCATGGAAGGGGTCTACGGCGAAGACCAGGAAGCGACAACTGATCCCGACACGTAGTACGATCCTTGGGTGCTGACGTTTCCAGCAACGCCAAGATCGCCTCTTTCTCTCTATCACCTCAAAACTTGCTTACATGGTACGATGAATGTACCGGCCAAAATGCCGAATGAACGCACATTCAGATCGAAATTGACCGAATCGCGCGTTTCACAGACAAACCCATCCAACCCCAAGCATCCGAGATAGTGCAGCAGTTGGGCGTAGACGCCATAACCCCAGTGAGACTATGGTACGTGGGCTGGAGGTGGTCTCAGACACCCCCGACCTGTTCTACACCGAACTTCCTACCAACTGCTTTCCGGCGCGCTCGTCGGGGTATAAATGGGTCATGGGCACGATTGGTCTGCCATCTTTTCGTTCTCCGTCGCAAGCTAGCCCGATGTTGAAAAACATTCTACCGATAACCTCATCGAACAGCTACTTACAGTGTTTCCAAGGCCGCAAGACCCCCGAAGATTCCCTCAGGCAGCGTGGTGAGCTCGTTGTAGAGCAGGTACCTTCGGGTGTCGAGGGAAGGCCACGAGCGGAGCAGATAACACACATGACCTAGGAATCAGTGCTTGCTGCCGCACATGGTAATCTACGAAGCGCGGCCAGCCCACCAGCATGTACGGACGTCCTTCAGTACAGTGGCGCTAGCAACGCCGCGGCCGCCGCGATGAGCTGGGTACAACCACAACAATCATGCCTCCTTCCCGTTACAGCGAAGGCGACGAATTGGCAGCTAGAACCCGTTCCAGGGTTGCATTGAGTACACCGCGAATCGGATAAGAGGTTAGGATATGCGGCCATCAGGGCACCACCATGGAAGGGGTCTACGGCGAAGGCCAGGAAGCGACAACTGATCCCGATACGTAGTACGATCCTTGGGTGCTGACGTTTCCAGCAACGCCAAGATCGCCTCTTTCTCTCTAATCACCTCAAAACCTGCTTACATACGATGAACGTACCGGCCAAAATGCCGAATGAACGCACATTCAGATCGAAATTGACCGAATCGCACGTTTCACAGACAAACCCATCCAACCCCAAGCATCCGAGATAGTGCAGCAGTTGGGCGTAGACGCCATAACCCCAGTGAGACTATGGTACGTGGGCTGGAGGTGGTCTCAGACACCCCCGACCTGTTCTACACCGAACTTCCTACCAACTGCTTTCCGGCGCGCTCGTCGGGGTATAAATGGGTCATGGGCACGATTGGTCTGCCATATTTTCGTTCTCCGTCGCAAGCTAGCCCGATGCGGAGAAACATTCTACCGACAACCTCGTCGAACAGCTACTTACAGTGTTTGCAAGGCCGTAAGACCCCCGAAGATTCCCTCAGGCAGCGTGGTGAGCTCGTTGTAGCTCAGGTACCTTCGGGTGTCGAGGGAAGGCCACGAGCGGAGCAGATAACACACATGACCTAGGAATCAGTGCTTGCTACCGCACATGGTGATCTACGAAGCGCGGCCAGCCCACCAGCATGTACGGACGTCCTTCAGTACAGTGGCGCTAGCAACGCCGCGGCCGCCGCGATGAGCTGGGTACAACCACAACAATCATGCCTCCTTCCCGTTACAGCGAAGGCGACGAATTGGCAGTTGGAACCCGTTCCAGGGTTGCATTGAGTGCACCGCGAATCGGATAAGAGGCTAGGATATGCGTCNATCGCCTCTTTCTCTCTTATCACCTCAAAACCTGCTTACATACGATGAACGTACCGGCCAAAATGCCGAATGAACGCACATTCAGATCGAAATTGACCTAATCGCGCGTTTCACAGACAAACCCATCCAACCCCAAGCATCGGAGATAGTGTAGCGGTAGGGCGTAGTCGCTATAACGGCAGCGAGACTATGGTACGTGGGCTGGAGGTGGTCTCAGACACCCCCGACCTGTTCTACACAGAACTTCCTACCAACTGCTTTCCGGCGCGCTCGTGGGGTATAAATGGGTCATGGGTACGGTTGGTCTGCCATCTTTTTGTTCTCCATCGCAAGCTAGCCCGATGCGGAGAAATACTCTACCGACAACCTCGTCGAACAGCTACTTACAGTGTTTGCAAGGCCGTAAGACCCCCGAAGATTCCCTCAGGCAGCGTGGTGAGCTCGTTGTAGCTCAGGTACCTTCGGGTGTCGAGGGAAGGCCACGAGCGGAGCAGATAACACACATGACCTAGGAATCAGTGCTTGCTACCGCACATGGTGATCTACGAAGCGCGGCCAGCCCACCAGCATGTACGGACGTCCTTCAGTACAGTGGCGCTAGCAACGCCGCGGCCGCCGCGATGAGCTGGGTACAATCAAAACAATCATGCCTCCTTCCCGTTGCGGCTAAGGCGAGTTGGCAGTTGGAACCCGTTCCAGGGTTGCATTGAGTACACCGCGAATCGGATAAGAGGCTAGGAATGAGGCCAACAGGGCACCACCATGTAAGGGGTCTACGGCGAATGTCAGGAAGCGACAACTGATCCCGACACGTGGTATGATCCTTGGGTGCTCACGTTTCCAGCAACGCCAAGATCGCCTCTTTCTCTCT